CAACAAGAATTATTGTTTGGTGTTCACAGAGAGAGCATGGATGTGAATTTTACATGTGTGCCTCCAGGATTGCTCATGAAAGAAAAAATTTATTAAGAAGTGTAACATGGAGCACATGTTGGAAATATGCCCTAGAGGCAATAATAAATTAGTTATTATTATATTATATTTCATTGTTTATGATAATCGTTTATTATCCATGCTAGAATTGTATTGATAGGAAACTCAGATACATGTGTGGATACATAGACAACACCATGTCCCTAGTAAGCCTCTAGTTGACTAGCTCGTTGATCAATAGATGGTTACGGTTTCCTGACCATGGACATTGGATGTCGTTGATAACGGGATCACATCATTAGGAGAATGATGTGATGGACAAGACCCAATCCTAAGCCTAGCACAAGATCGTGTAGTTCGTATGCTAAAGCTTTTCTAACGTCAAGTATCATTTCCTTAGACCATGAGATTGTGCAACTCCCGGATACCATAGGAGTGCTTTGGGTGTGCCAGACGTCACAACATAACTGGGTGGCTATAAATGTGCACTACGGGTATCTCCGAAAGTGTCTGTTGGGTTGGCACGAATCGAGACTGGGATTTGTCACTCCATGTAATGGAGAGGTATCTCCGGGCCCACTCGGTAGGACATCATCATAATGTGCACAATGTGACCAAGGAATTGATCATGGGAGGATGTGTTACGGAACGAGTAAAGAGACTTGTCGGTAACGAGATTGAACAAGGTATCGAGATACCGACGACCGAATCTCGGGCAAGTATCGTACCGATAGACAAAGGGAATTGAATACGGGATTGATTGAATCCTTGACATCGTGGTTAATCCGATGAGATCATCATGGAGCATGTGGGAGCCAACATGGGTATCCAGATCCCGCTGTTGGTTATTGACCGGAGAGTTGTCTCGGCCATGTCTGCATGACTCCCGAGCCCATAGGGTCTACACACTTAAGGTTCGATGATGCTAGGGTTATAGGGAATAGATGTACGTGGTTACCGAATGTTGTTTGGAGTCCCGGATGAGATCCCGGACATCACGAGGAGTTCCGGAATGGTCCGGAGGTAAAGATTTATATATGGGAAGTCATCATGCAGTCACTGAAATAATTCGGGGGGTTACCGGTATTGTACCGGGACCACCGAAGGGGTTCCGGGGGTCCACCGGGAGGGTCCACCTGCCCCGGAGGGCCCTATGGGCTTTGTGTGGAGAGGGACCAGCCCCTTAGTGGGCTGGGCGCTTTCCCCCTAGGGCCCATGCGCCTAGGGTTTGAGGGAACCCTAAAGGGGGGCGCCCCCCTTGCCTTGGAGGGCAAGGCAACCCCCCTGGCCGCCGCCCCCTCCTCAGATTGGATCTGAGGGGGCCGGCCCCCCTCTCCCTTGCCCCTATATATATGTGGGGGTGGGAGGGCAGCCGCACCCAAGTTCTGGCGCGGCCCTCCCCCTCTCCCAAGTCCTCCTCTCCCGCGGTGCTTGGCGAAGCCCTGCAGGATTGCCACGCTCCTCCTTCACCACCACGCCGTCGTGTTGTTGCTGGATGGAGTCTTCCCCAACCTCTCCTTCTCCCCTTGCTGGATCAAGGCGTGGGAGACGTCACCGGGCAGCACGTGTGTTGAACGCGGAGGCGCCGTTATTCGGCGCTTAGATCGGAATCAACCGCGATCTGAATCGCTGCAAGTACGACTCCTTCATCCGCGTTCTTGCAACGCTTCCGCTTAGCGATCTACAAGGGTATGTAGATGCACTCCCCTTCCCCTCGTTGCTAGATTACTCCATAGATTGATCTTGGTGATGCGTAGAAAATTTTAAATTTCTGCTACGATCCCCAACAACACACTTGTCCAGCATCAGCAGAGAACACAAAGGTTACTACTAAGTGGATTTCCAAAGCAGTTGAGCCTTCTCTTAGAGCAGATCCTAGAGCACCTGTGGATTCACTTATTAAAAACAGCAAAGTCAAGTTTTCAGTTGATGTATCAAAGAGTGTGGCCTATAGGGCAAGGAGGAAGGCTATTAAGGTTGTACAAGGTGACCAGAAGGAGCAGTATTATAGACTGAGGGACTACCTACAAGCAGTTCTTGACACAAACCCTGGTAGCAGGTGTGTAGTTACAACATTTGAGGACCCAGAAAACCCTTCCCAACTCCTAGATTTAAGTACATGTTCTACTGCTTGCATGCATTAAAGCAAGGATTTCTTAATGGTTGCAGGCCCTTTATAGGTAAATCTATAACTGCATTTTGTTCAAAATATCTTGTTGTAAATTTATGGTAGCTAATTTGGCTATGGATGCAGGGCTTGATGGTTGCTTCATCAAGCTAACCACTGGACAGCAAATTCTTGCATCCACAGGAAGAGATGGAAACAACAACATCTACCCCATAGCCTTTGGTGTGGTTGATAAGTAAGATTCAGAGAGTTGGACATGGTTCCTAACCCAGCTAAGATGTTGCATTGGAAGTGGTAGCAAATTTGGAACCTACACCATTATTTCTGACAAGCAAAAGATATGCACCCTATCTTAGCCAGTAGTTCAGATATATATTGTTATTAGTAGCTTTATTTATTTTTGTTCATGACCATGGTTATTAATTTACAATCAGGGTCTTCTTAAGGCTATAAATGAGGTGTTCCCTGATTCTCCTCAGAGATACTACCTCGGGCACATATATGCAAATTTTCAGTCAGCTGGTTTCAGAGGAGCAGAACTAAAGAAGCTAGTAGATTAGGCTAGCTACTCATTCACCAAATATGGCCATGAATTAGCAATGGCAGAGCTTAAAGCAGAGTGTGAGGATGCCTAGAAGTGGCTTAAAAATTCCAAAGGAGACTTGGTGTAGGTCTGCAATGGATTACAATTGCAAAACTGATCTTGTTGTGAACAACCTTAGTGAGGTTTTCAACAAAATGATCCTTGATGTTAGGGCCAAACCAATTAGGACTATGTTTGAAGGAATTAGGACTAAGCAGATGATCAAAAGGCAGAAGACTAGGGAAAAAACAGAGAACAGCAGGTGGATGATCACACCCAACTATTCAGAGAAACTAGAGGAGAATAAGAAGTATGCCAAATTTTGTGATGCATATAAGGCAGGTCCTGACATTTGGCAAGTGTCTAGTAAGGAAAATCAGTTCTGTGTGAACCTAGCTAGTAAATCATGTGACTGCAGGAGGTGGGACATGACAGATGTGACATGCAGTCATGCAATAGCAGCAATGAGCAAGATTCACATGCACCCAGAGGACTATGTGCATGAATTTTTCAAAAAAACACTATATATTGAAGCATACAAAGACATAGTGTACCCTGTCCCTGGTCCTGGATTCTGGCTTGACACCCATACTTAGGATATTGAGCCCCTAGTGTTCAAAGAAAAAGCACGCAAGAAACAGACAGCTAGGAAAAAGGGCCAGTTTGAGGTGCCTGCACCAAAGGACACAAGCAGGATGGGAACAATTACATGCAGCAATTGTGGTCTATAAGGCCACAGATATACAAACTATGGGAAAGCTCTAAAACCTAGTCTTGAGATGAGAAAGAACTTACACCAGGTCATTCAAAAATGTTGCATTCTTTGTTTAATTATTTTAGGTCTGGTCTATTTACTAACTGAGTTAATTTTGTCATGCGGGAGAATAGAGAAATTTTTAGGGGTTCCTCTAGTGCTACACATCCACCTCCACAACCACCACCTCAACACCAAACTTCACATATGCCAGCATCATCTACTCCACCTCCTAAAGCAATGAGGAACAGAAAAACATCAGCAAGTAAGAGAGGTTCAACATCAAAAGTTTCAGCAGGAGCAGCTAGGTCTTCACCAGCACCTGCAATAGGATCAGCATCAACAAGAGCTCCAAGAGGATCAGCATCAACAAGAACATTCAATGCACCAAGAACATCCACTGGAGAACCAGGGATATTGGCAGGCAAGAGGAAGAGGAAACCTCCTAGCAAGTTTGCATCCTATTTCAATGCTAGTGGAAACTATTGAAACTCTATATCTAAGTTTGTGTTCTGCTACTTAGTTTGAGTGTATGGTACTAAGTTTGTGTTCTGCTACTAATGTGTGTTGTGCTACTAGCCTGCTTAAATTCAGAATGTGTGTTGTGGACATGTTAATTTGTTTGATTTGTTGTACATTGCCATTTCTAAAGTTCAGAAGTTACTGCCAAATTCATTTTAGAAAAAGAAATCTGCACAAAAAAAGTCTGGCCTGGGGCTCGAACCCAGGAGTAGTTGGTTGTAACCATGCGTTCAATACCAATGGGCTAGTGCTGGTGATTTGTTTGACTAGCATCGGCCGAACTTATTATATGTTGTTAGCCACATCGTCTGTTCAGCGTGCGTTGCGGCCGGCTGCGTGGTGAGCGTGCGTTGAATAAAACATGCTTACTTACTTAACTTAGCATGAGTACTCACTTAGCATAGTAGGTCTTAACATAAAAGTCATTACATCATACATAAAACCAACTAGTTCTTAAACCATAAGAGTACCTCCCTCCTTCATACCATTCTGAAAGCAGATGAAACTTTCCCAAAATATACACCTAACATGCATGACATTCCAAGGCCAGCTATATATATAGGCCTACTAATTACTTAACCCACACACCAAGCACTTCACTCATTCACAATTGCCTTGATCCTCTCCAGTTTATCTTTGCTTGCATGCCCAGCATTGAGCAGATCAGCAATCAGATACTCCAGCTTCTTCTTCTCTTTCTTAAGTAGGTCCCTGTCCCCCTCCACTTCCTTCATGGCCTTCCTCATGTTCTGAATGATATCTGCTTGGCTTTGAAGAATGCACCTTTGCTCCTTGGCAAGCTTCATCTTTTCCATACTTATCTCAATATTTGCTTGATCCTCAAGTTGTTTCTTCTTTGCATTTAGATCATTGATTGCCTGACTGGTATAGTCCATGTCATAAGACATCTTGCCATCTTGATAGTCAAAAAGTTTGGATACATCTTCCACCAACTAGCTGTAGTTGTTTGACAGGAAATCAATTTCCTTCTTTAGCTTGGCCACCTCTTTCTCATGAGCTTGTTTGTCCTTCACCCTCCCCAAGTTCTGCTCATGGTACATGTCCCAAATCCTTGTTAGGAACCTTTGTAGAATCTCTGGCCAAGGACCATCCACCCACTCCACAACCCCACAGTTCACACCTACATCCTATAGAAGCAATTATTTATAATTAAGCACAAAGCACTTAGTAACAAACTTAGTACAGATAACTAAAGTCATAAAGTCATTTCATTTAACTCTGAATATTTGTTTAAATCAATATGCTCTCTGAATTATGCAAACATAATTCTTTCATAGTAAGCACACAACACCTAACTTAGCATCAGAGATAAATTCAGTTAACAGCTATATTTAGCAATAGATATAAATTCATTTAACTCTGTTCTTTTTCAATTGACAGCTATATTCAGTTAACACCTAACAAATACATTCAGTTCATAGTACACTAAAGATCTCTGCATGTAGGTGTTCTCAGGTTCAGTCTTGTATTGAATTCAGTTAACTAAAGATCTACTTTCACATATAGCTTCCATATGTATGGCACTTTCAAGTTTCAGTTCTAAACTATAGCACACATCTCTGCACATCACACATCTATGCACCACATGCTGCACCACACATCTCCAGCAGCAAAACACATCACACATCTCCATAAGCAAAACAAGTTAGCGTGCAAGATTTAATACCTGCTGCACAGGACAACCCAGGAATCGCCTCCCAGTCAAAGCACCTTCAAAAGCCACCATCTTCTTCGGCCTCTGATGATGCATCATGCACGTCGGCTCAGATTCAGTGTAAGAACCACAGAAAGATGGTTCCACCACACTATCGGGGGTTTCCTGCAAAAGAAACTTCGAATCAAACCAAAAGCAACTTGGAATCTCCAATTTTGATGAACTAACCCTAACCCTAACTCTATTCCACCATTATGCACTTACAAATAGCTGAGAATCCATTGAAACCATGTTGATGTCCTCGTCCGAGCTCTCCTCGTCATTCCAGGATGGCATCCTCAACTTCTACCGGCAGCAATGGCCATGGCGGCGACTGCGATAGGCTGACCTAGCTCAGAGCACCAGGGAGAGGGAGAGGATGAGGACGAGTGAGAGCGAGCGAGGAGAAAGAGAATGAGCAAGTGGCTGAGCTCGCTCTAACTTATTGGCCCACCAACAGCCGCCGTTCAGACAGCGGACGGGCCGTTAACGGCCGTTAACGCACGGCGGCCGTCCGTTGGCCAGCGTGGCAACTGATTCGCGGGCCAACCGGTCAGATTCAGGGTTAGCGCGGGCGAAGCGAGCGCTTTCGCGACTTGGTAGCTTTTTGCCATGGTTTAGGACAAATTTGTTAGTTTTTCGCACAAAATCGTAGAGTGGTAGTTTTTCATCACGTTTTCGTCAATTGTGGTAGTTTTTGGTTAAACACTCTCATAAATTAGGTGCCTTTCCATCTACAAATACAGTAAACAACCAAACTATGAAATACTGCTATTGGAAGACAAACCTAAAATATTACAATATCACCAATTTTGCGGAAAAAACACTCTTCTTCTGAAGGGGATTTCCGGAAATATATTTGGTGGATAATTCATTGCAGTTGATTTTGTTTTCTGAAATAATTGCAATGACCTGACTGATATAAAGAGTTATCACCGCTAACCATCATTTGCCCTTTCTTGACTGGCAGTTTATTGCACAGAAAGTTACATATATGCACTCGCTTAGGGCTTGAAGGTCATTACAAGTGTTGGTGAGACTCTCGAGCAGCAAGAAGCTTAATTAACCATGGAAGTTATCGCCGAACAGACAAAAGCAATTGCTGGTACTTACCTTTAGTTTCTGAATATACACAGATTTCCTTCAAATTGTTGGTAACATTGTGTTTATATTCTCTTTAATTCTGTTAGCGTAGATCTTGATGGTTTTGGTGAATTGTCCAAGTATTGCGGGTTTAATTTCCTGGCAAGGAACTTTATGTTTGCAAAACCTAGCTACTTTCATTCATTCGGCCACTTTTACCTTTATTGACAATTTTACTTCGTGTCAGTTAAATCTTGACATATTTTAACACTAATCTGAAGGAACAAGCTCGAAGTAACTTCCGTTGTTGCTATTTGCCTCCCCAGTTGCAGTTGCGCGGCAGGCCACCGATGATGGGATCTTGCCGGATATGTTGATGCATTGTTCTGGAGGTACTTGTTTGTTTTTTCCGTCTAAATTCTGGTTACCTGCAGCTCATCTGTAATTTTGAGTTTTGTTTTCTTGCAGGTTCGTCCATCGTTCGCACGTGCTCGCTGTTCTGGTCGGTTCGTCGTTCGATCTGTGCTAGTCTGTTGGGTCTTCGTCCAGCGCTTTGCAGGTCGACCCCTTGCTCCACTTCTCGGCTTTCTAGGCCTAGGCTTATGTTTTTGCGGCCATGTGGTTTGCCTAGCTTGCCTTTCTGGAGCTGTTGTTGTACTCAGTCCATGTCTGATTGTTGTTCCTGTTGGTGTGCAGGTTGGTCAATGGGTGTGCCTGTTTCTTGTACTCTTATTGTTAGAAGACTAGCTAGAGTCCAAGAGTATTATTCCCTGCTTGTATTTTTGTGGCCTCCTTTTCTTCCTTGCTTGTTTTTTCTGGAATACAAATGTGATTTGTGTTCCTTCTCTGATTTTGTACCTTTAGCTATGTCCTAGAAGTAATCTATTGATGTGTTTGTTGGTACTGCTTGCACGTGTGGTGCTGTTGGGGATATCAAACAAGCCAATGTCATTGCGGATATGATTTGCAAAAAAATATTCCTTGGAGTGTAGCTAGAGTAGTGTGCTATCAGGATGATGCAGTCACTTATATAATCTGACCTCTGCCTGTGGTGCATGCATTGTATGATTGTTGTATATGTGTGCAATTTAGTGAGTGAGTTATAGGTTATTCAGGTTAGGTTGAGCATTATAATAGGAGCCAGATTTTAGTCCTCTTTAGCTTAGGTTTGAGCATTATAATAGGCTGATTTGCCGCTTCTAAATATTTCTACTATGATCTATCTTGGCTTTCCAGGCTAAACTACTTTCTGCTAGATTAGATTTTATATTAGCATTACCAGTAGAAGTCATGGTTGGATCAGATTCTTTTTGCACTAAAAATTTGTGTGTCAACCTTTTTCTCCCTAACCTATTTGTTGTTTGCCAATGCCCCTGACTTTCTAATGCTGATATAATTGTTGCATGCTGGCAGGTTGCACATCATTACAAATTCTACATGATCAATGCGCTTATCTGTGAATGAGCACAAGAGGAAGACAAAGGAAGAATAACAATTAACAATACAAATGGGGATTAATCTACCCTAAGTAAAGACTGGATGTTCTTTTTTATGAGGCTATATTTATCCCTGTAGGATGTTCCCTATAACTCAGAAATCTGAAGGTATGGTGGCATTGAAACAGTTACCTATCTCCATTTCTATTAGTGCCATGCCATATGGTTGTGAATTGAAATGCCCGATGTTCCATTACTTCTTGATTATTGACCTCTTTTTATATTGGCCAGTCGTATATAAAGGTTGCACTTACATTTTTTTATATGGAGAATGTCAAAGAGTTCGCTTAAAACTTGCATGACCTACATAAGAAAGATAAGATGGACGCATTTGCTTTATTTTAAAAATATACTTATCACAAATATTTACATATTTCTTATTAGTATTTTGCATAATTATGTTCTCTAACTGATCTGGTATTTCATTGTTAGCATGATACTTCTTTGCAGATACAAATGAGTAATTATCAATTGATATTTAACATCACATTTGGTAGTGGAAGAATTAGTAAAATAAGGTGGGTACATATCATTGATCAGTATCTGGTATTTTTCAACCACATTAGTTAGTAGTTTTTTTAGTTTTGGTTTATTTTTGTTCCAGTGTATTTAAAGTGTTGGTATTTGCTTCTGAAAATGGCTTTGGTAACACTGAAATATATGTTTGACTTATGACTATGCATTAATTATTTATGTGTTGTGAATTGAGTGTCAATGTGTTTTATAGTACTGCCAGGTTAGAGTTTGGTGCCAGGGTCATTGCTGGGTGCGTGGCTATGATGACGGGAAAATGGCAGGCGTGAGACACGCGTCCACATCATTGATACAGAGTTAATAATTTAAATACGTAGATACATACAACAAAAATAGGATCAAACATTGCAGGTACTTTATTTCCAGAACTCTTACATTTACATAAAAATTCTGTTAATTACATCTCTGAAGAGAAAACCCATGATTAAGAATTCCAACATATCTATTACATAAGATTGCAACACATTCCTATTACAATATGCTACAAGAAAATTCCTCCTCGCGATCGTCAATGCACTCCTGCTTGGGTACTTGAAGTTTGCTTTCATGCAAGTACTTCTCCATAGTTTCATGTTTGATATGTTGGAGTATATATTTTCCTAACATGTTTAATTGTGGTCAACATCATTTATATGATGGTGCAGAATGAAGGTTGGTTTTGACTAGGCTTAGTTTTATCCTACGTTTGGCATATAGGATATGTATATATTTTTCTTTGGGAATTTATATGACATCTTTGGTTTTGGTGGCATGGACACATGTGACATGCCAATTTTAATAAGTTTTGCATCATCACATTACTACTATCACCGCGCGACACTGATATGATGCCCGTGTGTAGCGTAATGGACCGAAGCTTTCTAACACAATTTTGATGCTTTTTATAGTGCATATGATATGTGCCATATTGTTGACTTTGACTTCACGCGGTATCAAAACTAACCACGCGGTGCAATGATATGACACACACGTATAGCTTGACCCGAATGGAGTTTGTTTATGATATTTTTTTATTTGTTTAAAGCCTATGTGGGCTACATGAAATATGCCTTATCATGTATTTTGCATGAGTTTTGTATGCATATGTGGACGTGGAGTGAACTTATTTTTTATTAAGTTTTGCTTTACCTGTATTACTACTAACACCACGTGACACTAAGATAATGCCCGCGTGCAGCATAACCAAGCAAAGGTTTGTGGAGCAATTATGATGTTGCATGAGTCATTTGACATTTATCATTTTCGTTTATGTTTGTACCTTACATGGTATTAGTACTAACTCCACATAGTGTCACATCATTGACGCTCGTGTGTAGCATAACCCAAGTAAAGTGAGTTTGTGATATCCATTTATGACGATGCTAATAGTTTAGGCTCTTATAGCATTGGAGCATTTCATGCCATATTTTATTTGACTTTGGACCAAATATGTGGCCTGAATATTCTGTTTAGTTTTCTCTTACTTGTATTACTACTAACACCGTGTAGCATTATGATAATGCCCACGTGTAGCGCAACCAAGTAAGATTGGTTTTTTATGCAACATGTTTTATCATTCATCTTGCATGATTTTGGTTTCTAGGTGTGTATCGTGAACATATTTTTTAATTAAGTTTTTCCCTGCTCGTATTACTACTAACACCGCGTGACATTAAGATAATGCCCGCATGCAGCGTAACCAAGTGAAGGAACATATTTTCATGCTCTTATTTGTATTGCAACTAGCATGACACATAATGCCCGTAGCGCAACCAAACAAGAGATTATCATGAGTTCAGTTTAGTGCGTCTGTAATTTCATTCCAACTTAGTCATATCCATTTTTTATGATGACCAAATTAAGTCAATTTTTATGAGGTTTTCGCACCTATGACACTCTCTTGATTTGTATCCATGTATAGGGACCAAACCAAGGAACGAGGCGTTCATCTTGGCTTGTATCGCTAAAGGGACCGAACCAAGACGGAGATCAATAGGACGAAGCGCACGCAACATTTAAAGGAACCGTGCTTGCAAGAACCATGCATGCTCCTTGACTCGTACTGTGATGGCCGAGCCGAAGGCAAAAGTTTGGGCTAGATATAACATGCTCCTTGGTTTGTACCGCGATGGCAGAACGAAGGAAAAAAAATTGGGATGA